CATTTGTCATTCATTATTATAACAATTATATTTTCTAGTATTGGGAAATGATTAGATTAGATGACAACTACCCTAGACTTTTTTACATGTAATAGGTGCATTTGGTCCATATATTTTGCCATTTTTTTCAAATCTATTTTGGCTCTGTTAATGCCATGGGAATACCATATAATTTTAAACATTTGTATTTTATTTTTCTATTTTTTTGAAGCAATCAGTGAGCTCCAAACATTGAGCCTTTAATTTCATCCATCCAATTCAAATACTATGGGATTGTTTGGTATAGTTTATAAGTTACTTTTATTAAAAATAAAAAATAAAAAATAAATAAATAAACTGGAGTTTGGATCAAATTATTGGGTATAGTTTCTATTTACAACTTATTGTAAGTTTAAAAAAAAATTGATTACTTAAAAACTGAATGAGATATATTTTTAATTATTACTTTATTGATTTTTAACTTATAATAAATTATATCAAGAAACTCTATGTTATTCAATTTATGTCATTAAGAAAAGTTATATCAACATGCCCCGTATTATTCAATTTAAGTCATTAAGGGTGTGTTTGATTGGACGGACTGGATAAGGGGGATTAGAATCTATCGGACTTGAGTCCTGGGAATCCCCCGGACTATTTGGTTAGATTAGATATGTATCATGTGTTTGTTTTTTTATGGGATTAGATGTCTGGAAATGACTATTTTTAGTGAATCCAACGTTTGGTTGGAGGGACTGGATAGGATAAATGAACAAAAGACTATTTTACTCTTTTTTAATAGTTTATTAAGTAATAGCAATATTAAACATATCTTTAATATTTTAATTATTTTTAGCTAGATTAAGTAAAAAAAAAATTATTTTATTTTTTACAATTTATTTTTAAAAATTTAAATAAATAAAATATCAATAAAAATATATGTTATTTTTTAATTAAAATTTTAAATAAATTTGTTTTTAAAAATAATAATAATTAAACAATGAAATTAAATAAAACATTTTTTAAAATTTAAATAATGAAATTAAATAAATTATAAACAAAAAACATCAATAAAATATCTATAAAAAAATTATTTAAAAAATAAATAAATAAAACATCAATAAAAAATTAAATAAAATTATTTTATTTTTAAATTGAGACATTTAAATTTTATTGAATTTTATTATATATAATACATAATTAAATAATAGATGGTCAAAATAGTAATTCACCATCTAATCCCAACAGTAAATAATCTCCCCAAATTGTCCTACACCCCTCCTAGGATAGTATAATCCTCCACATGGGGGATAAGGAGTCTGGCCGGACTCCATGTCCGACAGACTAAAAAAAAACAAACATCGAATTGAATGATTGCCCTAGATTACAATCCACACAGTAAATAATCTCTCTCTTATCCCCTAATCAAAAACACCCTCAGTTCTACCATGCATGGACACCACAATGAATGTGTAAAACGGATACTTATTAAATTCAAATCTTGAAGTAGGTTTTGTGGCTTATGACACCACCTAACATGTAGAGAAAGAGGTACTCTGTTTTTCAAAAGTTATATGACACCACCTAACATGTAGAGAAAGTTATACTCTGTTTTTCAAAAGTTAAACTTACCAACATTGATAATTGCATTCTCTCTCATCATCTATCGTTCTTGTGTGCGTCATTCATTCCTCTATTAACTAACGCTCCGTTTGTTCGAGAACGCTTTTAATATTTTTTAGTATTTTATATAATAAAAATAAAAATTAATCGAAAATATTTTTTATAATCAAAGAAAAACAAGTTAATATGTGCAGAAATATTTTTTATTTTTAAAAGGCAAAAATGTTTTCTGTATTAAAATTTTACCAATGTCTCACACTACCACTATGCCACATTGCCACCATCACCGCAACCACTACAACTATCACCACAACCCACTACAAGTATCACCACTGCTATTACCGCCGCCACCCCACCACCATATGCTACCGAAATTAGTGGGTACCCATCCCCAACCCATCCCCTATGGATATTTAAAGAATATCACCTACCCTACCCAATGGATAAGAAAAAAAGGGGAAAACCCATGTATTTGGGTTGGATCTCCATGGATACCCACAGGGTAGGTTATCCATTGCCATCCCTAACCGCCACCACCCCACCACCATATGCTACCAACTCCACCTCTACCTTCGCTTTCGTTCCACCACAGCCACCACCAAGTATAGAAAAATATTTTTTTTTCACAAAAATACCTTCTGGAAAAAAAAAATGTGTATTTTTCACTTAAACAAACGAAAAGTAAATATTATTCATTTATTAGAATAAAAATTAATGACATTCAAAAAAAATATATAGATTCAACGTCACATTAGAAAAATTGCTAATTGCTTTTAATTTCCATTCTTGCAAGGATGAATACCATGATTAGCATTTCGAATAGAAATCTAAACATTATATTCAATGTGCAACTTATACTATTTTTATTTTGAGTTATCTATATGGAAACTCCTTAAATTATTAAAAAAAATTACTTTAAGTTCTTAAATTATAAAAGTGTACAAATGGACCTCTTAAATTATTAAGAGTTATTTCTTTGTTGCATAAACTATAAAAACGTATAAATTGACTCCCTAAACTATTGGTATGTTTCACTTTAAGCTCTTCTATCAAGGGGTTCAATTTACACATTTTTATAGTTTAGGGTTTATTTGTATACTTTTATAATTTAGAAGGCGAAGTAATACATCTTAATAATTTAGAAAATTTATTTATACATTTTTAAAATTTAAAAGGTCAAAATAATATTTTTCAATAGTTCAAAAAAATTTATGTAAATAACCTCCTTTATGTAAATACCCTCAAAAGCGTTTATGCTTCTAGCAAATGTAAGGTTATGAAACGGAACCCAATTGATCTGGGAGATAAGATTTGATTTAAGTCATCTATCTCATTTATGATATGAGGGAATGACAATTAATGAATTCAATTATTTCACACAAAATGCGGCAAACCCAAATAAAACTTAGATCTCAAACCCATGCCACAATTATTTTCACATTTTGTCATCTTTCCCCTCTTGCATGTTTCACACCTGCATGAAATTCTTTTTCTATGTTAAACCTCTCTCATTTTAAGAATTTATGTATAATTATAATCCCGAATTTAATTGCATTCAATTGTCATTCTAATTATTAATTCACTTGTGATATAAATAAATAAATTTTTAAACATAAAAGCCTAAGGTCAGGTTTGACAAGTTGAAAAAAAATAAAAAAATTAAAAAGCTACTCAAAAAGTTAAAAAGTTATCACTCTTCACCAAAAGTCAAAAAGTACGGCTCCACAACTCTCAATCCTAATTTTCCCTTACACACTTATACAATTTTTTAATACACATTTTTTCATAAAAAATCAAAAAATTAACCCAAACAACTATATTTTTTTTCTCAATTTTTTAGTCCAAAAAATCAAAAAATGTACTTTCCAAAAAACCCCTTAGACAAGAAATTTTATTCAACCAAGAAATATGATGCAGGTGTGGCCAAAATTATTGTCAAATGTGTGAGCTAAAAACAAATAAAGGCTGACAAATTTATGGGTAGAATAAGAGTAATTGGTAGCATGGAATTGGAGAGAACAAAGCATGTGATGAATAAGTGAAAAATAATGGAAAAGAATTGCCCTTCAATCAAATTTGTTTACGCAGAATATATCCCAGTAATCCTCTCTCTATCCATCATGATATCTTTTTGTTGCATAAAAAACTGCTCGAGTCAAAACTAAACTAGACTGCTTAGAATGCTGCCACTTTTGAGAGTTTGACTAAAACAGCACAAATTTACTGTTGAAAGAAAATATCATACATTAATTTGAAAAATTCAAACCCAATCTTTTTTTAACCCAAAAAAAAAAAAGAAATAAAATCTCAATTATTAACTTATAGTTAAAGAAGTGGACGAAAATTTGATTTGCATGTAAAAATCTAAATCAAAGCAAGATGGGTACAATTTGGGATTAGGATTATTCGTTTTTAAAATTCAAATCTTCTCAAATCTACTACTATTTTAAAAAGTAGAAGGATTTGAGTGTTTTCTACTTTTTTGGATTCCGCAAATGCCCATATCAAAGTAATGAAATTACTATGCAGCCTGGTCCCTCTCGGTAACGTTGCCAAACTTTTTTTTTAAAAAAAAAATTTCAAGAAGTGCCTGTTCATTAGGAGGGTCTCAATTTTTTATTTGCTTGTAGGGCTGTACATGGGTCGGTTCGGATCGGGTTAACCTATTAATCAGTAGTCGATCGAACACATTCGGATTGAAAGAATTAATATCCAATTTCGACCGGGTGATGGTTTGAAACTGTCCGTTCATGGGAATCAGATTCAGTCGATTCACGGGTCGGGCTGTATCAATAAATTTTTTTGGGCCAAACCATTAGCAATTTTATTATGAAAATAGACATTTTTCATGATTTTTAATTTATTACCAAGTTAAAATATTAGTAATTTTAAAAATAGACAACTTTACAAATAAAAGTATAATTAGCAAAAAAATATTAAATTTATAATTTTACAATTCTAAAATCAATTCCACCAATTCAATAAATAAATCTGCTGATGAAAAAAAAAATATGAATAAAAGCAGCAGTTTCGACCTTAAAGAATTATTTGTTAACCAAACAAACAATGAATTCCACACAATAATATGAATAAAAAATAATTAACTAAGAAATTTCATACACCACTTCCTGTTTTGAACCCAATTATATCAAGAAGAATAGTAGTTTCAAACCTTTTACACACAAACAAATAAATAAACAAAAAAATTGCAAACTTCCAATTAGCAAACAAAATAAGTAATTCAAGATCAACTATCAATTTTTCTGATTGGCAACATCATCAAGATAACCTATCAACTAATCATGTTCATAGCCAAAAATATATATATAGCTATACTTAGCAATTGTCAAAATATTCCCTACTTCTATACTTGTCACTCCAGTTGGTAGCCAAAAAGCTTCAAAAAAATAACTAACCAGAAGTTTGTAATTTTGTTCAATGATTACATTCATCCAACTATAGAACTGAAGCAATATTAATACAAAACTTAGTAGAATATGAACAGCTTGGATAGGAAGGATGGACAAAAAATACACAAAAATAACCATCAGCAAACAGTCTGCCAAAGCAAAAAGGTATTATCAACAGATATCAACCACCTGCAAGGAAAAACAATTTGATAAATAAGTAAACATAAATAAAAGGAAACAACATAGTATAAAATTAAAAAAGACTTTAGTTTATTTACCAAGCTATGCTCCATTGCCATGCTAAACAGTTATGGGACTTGAACTTAAGTTTGAGGATGAACTTGATTCTGGAAAAATCACAAAATAAAACAAGTCAATAATAAAAATAGATGATTAAATCAAAGGATAAACAAAATTAACAAATCAATTTTATACTCAAAATTACCTAAGGCATACTGCTCAAATTCTAAAACATCATCCATTGCCTTGCGAAGAGAGATCAGCACAGTGCTTTGAAGCCAATTCTGAGTACAAACAAGTACCTCAACCATCATAGGAGAAAAAGAACTTCGAAAATGATCAAGAATGCGTTCACCGGTACTAAATGCCGACTCCGAAGCCACTGTTGAAACCGGCATTGCCAATACATCACGAGCTACTTGGGACAACACTCGTTACTTAGAAGAATTAGCTTTCCACCACCCCAAAATTTCAAATTTTTCATCTCTCACTCCTTCACAACAATCAGCCAAATACTTGTTCACTTCGGACTTGCACATAACAGAAAATTCAGCATCCAAATAGGTATTAAATTGAGATTCAATCAACAAATGAGGATCATCACAATCATCATCAATCACCATCCTAGATGGTTCATTTCTGTCAAGTACTTCCACAAAATTTGAATCATTTGCAAGTTAATGGTCATACAAACAAGTCAAACAATCTTTCACTTGACCAGTCATTGTATTGACTACACTTTCACCAAACAATTGGGAAAAGCAAAACTGGACATACCTCAATTTTTTTCGTGGATCAAGAACCACAGCAACATACATCAACAGATTTATTTTATCTCCATTACCCCAATATTTGTCAAATTTTGCTTTCATTCCTTTTGCCATTAAACCCAGCAATTCATCTTCCCTTCCATCTTTTTTACTTAATTGCTTAATTTTTGTTAGAATAACAAACATCTCATCAAAAAAACAATTAGAAGTTACATAAAGGGAGCCCGAAAACCTTTTAGTAGCATTGTAGAAAAGCCTTACGAATTTTAAAAATAGTCTACAATTGTTCCAGTCACCCTCTGTTGGAGCACCCCATGACTTCTTCTTTTTACCACTTCCATCCTCCCCATCGCCCTCTAAAAAGTAAGATCGATAATTGGAGTCCTCCTCCTCTAAACGCTCAAATGCTTTCTCAAATTTTTCAGCACTCTCCAACATCAAATAAGTTGAATTCCACCTAGTAGGTACATCAAGACATAACAAAGACTTGGACTCAATTTGACACATCTCCACATACTTCTTAAAAGATTCATGCCTATTTGGAGACGACCTCACATATCTCACAGCATCACGCACACAACAAATTAAAGCATCCAACTCTTTCAAGCCCTCACTAACAATGAGATTCAAAATATGCGCACAACAACGCATATGTAAGAACTCATGACCCAAAACAGTGCCCTTCCAATCTTTTGTTTTTCTTTTCAAGAATTTTATGGTTGTGTTGTTAGAACTCACATTATCAACAGTCAAAGTAAAAACACTACCAAGGTTCCATTCAAGTAAACACAACTCAATCCTCTTACCAACAGTTTCACCTTTATGATCCTCAACTTGACAAAAATTTAAAATCATTTTTTGTAATTTCCAATCATCATCAATAAAATGAGTCGTAAGACACATGTAATTAAGATTTTGTATGGATGTCCATGTATCAGTTGTAAGACAAACTCTACGACCCTTCAAAAAATTTCTTAGCTTAGTCCTCTCAGTGTTAAAAATTGCAACTACATCTTTAGCAACAGTGGTACGAGATGGAATCATGGTAAACTTTGGCTGTAAAGCATTGCAAAACCTACGAAAACCAACCCCTTCAACAAATCTAACAGGCAATTCATCAAGAATGATCATTTCAGCTAGAGCTTTCCTAGCACCTTCCACTGTAAAAGAAGTTGCCACTAGACCGACACCATCTCCATCTTTTTTGTTTTGAAAAGACAATGTATGTTGACTATTTTCTTGTTCTCTATAAGGATACTTTAAACAACTAGCCACATGACTCAATAAATTACTAGTCCCATGAGACTTTGACTCAGCCATGTATTCTTTTTAACAATACTTACATACAGCTCGTGTTTTCCCATCTTCCTCATTTTTACTTTAATCAAAATGATCCCATGCTCTTGATGGTTTCCTACCACTACCTTTTTCCCGTGCCTTACCCTTCTCCTTAGGTGGCAATGGAGGCTTATCAGAAAAAAGAGGTCCAGTGGTATTACCTTCAATAGGTTGGGCACTACCAGTGGCTGTTTCAGTAGGTTGGGCACCAATTGTGACTGTTTCATTAGGTTGGGCACCAATAGTGGCTGTTTCAGTAGGAGAATGATCCATTATCTAGACACAAAATACAACAATAAATATATTACATAATATACATAAACAAATCAAACATGCTAATAAATTCCAATTTTGTAAACAGTTAGTTAACAAACTATTTTCTAAAAAATGATCCATACAAAAACAAAGAGCATTATGCATTCTTTTTTTTTTTTAACAGAAGAGCATTATGCATTCTAATATGATACCATTATTATAGGATCCAAAAATATAAATAAAAGCATGCTTACTTAATGAAAAAAAAAAAATATAAAGCTTGCAATTTTTAAAATAATAGCAAACAAACAGATATTAAAAAATAAAAAAATAAAAAAGCATACACTTTAACTTTAAGCTTGTAATTTAAAAACAAAAAAAAAATAAAAAAAAACAAAAAAAAAACATACACTTCATTCTTATTGAGTATATTTAAGCATTCATTTTTTATTTTTATTTTTCGTTTTTCCATTTCAGCTTAAAATTTGAATCATTTGCAAGGTAATGGTCATACAAACGAGTCAAACAATCTTTCACTTGACTAGTCATTGTATTGACTACATTTTCACCAAACAATTGGGAAAAGTAAAACTGGACATACCTTAATTTTTTTCGTGGATCAAGCACCACAACAACATACATCAACAGATTTATTTTATCTCCATTACCCCAATATTTGTCAAATTTTGCTTTCATTCCTTTTGCCATTAAACCCAGCAATTCATCTTCCCTCCCATCTTTTTTACTTAATTGCTCAATTTTTGTTAGAATAACAAACATCTCATCAAAAAAAACAATTAGAAGTTACATAAATGGAGCCCGAAAACCTTTTAGTAGCATTGTAGAAAAGCCTTAAGAATTTTAAAAATAGTCTACAATTGTTCCAGTCACCCTCTGTTGGAGCACCCCATGACTTCTTCTTTTTACCACTTCCATCCTCCCCATCACCCTCTAAAAAGTAAGATCGATAATTGGAGTCCTCCTCCTCTAAATGCTCAAATGCTTTCTCAAAATTTTCAGCACTCTCCAACATCAAATAAGTTGAATTCCACCTAGTAGGTACATCAAGACATAACAAAGACTTGGACTCAATTTGACACATCTCCACACACTTCTTAAAAGATTCATGCCTATTTGGAGACGACCTCACATATCTCACAGCATCACGCACACAACAAATTGAAGTATCCAACTCTTTCAAGCCCTCACCAACAATGAGATTCAAAATATGCGCACAACAACGCATATGTAAGAACTCATGACCCAAAATAGTGCCCTTCCAATCTTTTGTTTTTCTTTTCAAGAATTTTATGGCTGTGTTGTTAGAACTCACATTATCAACAGTCAAAGTAAAAACACTACCAAGGTTCCATTCAAGTAAACACAACTCAATCCTCTTACCAACAGTTTCACCTTTATGATCCTCAGCTTGACAGAAATTTAAAATCCTTTTTTGTAATTTCCAATCATCATCAATAAAATGAGCCGTAAGACACATGTAATTAAGATTTTGTATGGATGTCCATGTATCAGTTGTAAGACAAACTCTACGACCCTTCAAAAAATTTCTTAACTTAGTCCTCTCAGTGTTAAAAATTGCAACTACATCTTTAGCAACAGTGGTACGAGATGGAATCATGGTAAACTTTGGTTATAAAGCATTGCAAAACCTATGAAAACCAACCCCTTCAACAAATCTAAAAGGCAATTCATCAAGAATGATCATTTCAGCTAGAGCTTTCCTAGCACCTTCCACTGTAAAAGAAGTTGCCACTAGACCGACACCATCTCCATCTTTTTTGTTTTGAAAAGACAATGTATGTTGACTATTTTCTTGTTCTCTATAAGGATACTTTAAACAACTAGCCACATGACTCAATAAATTACTAGTCCCATGAGACTTTGACTCAGCCATGTATTCTTTTTAACAATACTTACATACAGCTCGTGTTTTCCCATCTTCCTCATTTTTACTTTAATCAAAATGATCCCATGCTCTTGATGGTTTCCTACCACTACCTTTTTCCCGTGCCTTACCCTTCTCCTTAGGTGGCAATGGAGGCTTATCAGAAAAAAGAGGTCCAGTGGTATTACCTTCAATAGGTTGGGCACTACCAGTGGCTGTTTCAGTAGGTTGGGCACCAATTATGACTGTTTCATTAGGTTGGGCACCAATAGTGGCTGTTTCAGTAGGAGAATGATCCATTATCTAGACACAAAATACAACAATAAATATATTACATAATATACATAAACAAATCAAACATGCTAATAAATTCCAATTTTGTAAACAGTTAGTTAACAAACTATTTTCTAAAAAATGATCCATACAAAAACAAAGAGCATTATGCATTCTTTTTTTTTTTGAACAGAAGAGCATTATGCATTCTAATATGATACCATTATTATAGGATCCAAAAATATAAATAAAAGCATGCTTACTTAATGAAAAAAAAAACAAAAATAAAAAGCTTGCAATTTTTAAAATAATAGCAAACAAACAGATATTAAAAAATAAAAAAATAAAAAAGCATACACTTTAACTTTAAGCTTGTAATTTAAAAACAAAAAAAAAATAAAAAAAAACAAAAAAAAAACATACACTTCATTCTTACTGAGTATATTTAAGCATTCATTTTTTATTTTTATTTTTCGTTTTTCCATTTTAGCTTCTTTTAAGAAAAATAAGTTACTTAAAAATCTTTTTTACATGTAGGGATTTTGTTAACTTGAAACAAACTAAATAAAATGACAAAATAAATCTAAGGTTTTTGGTGATCAGAAAAAAAATAAAATAAAACAAAATAAAAAATACTGGAACAAATATATTTGGAGCATTCAAAAACATGAATGATCCATTATCTAGAGCATAATATACATCAACTAATCAAACATGATAATAAATTTCCATTTTCAAAACAGTTAATACAATGATTTATTGAAAAACTAACAAACATTTTAAAGTACCAAAGAATAAAAAAACACACATGAGAGCATTCAGATTTTTTTTCATTTAGCTTCTTTGAAACAAAAACAATGACTTAAAACAAGGGTTTTTGTTAATAAATAAATAAAATCCATGTATGGATTATGTTAGTTAGTCTACAAAAAATTAAATATATATATATACATTAAATCTAGTGTTTTTGTTAAAACAAAATTTAAAAATACGAAATCCATGTAGGATTTCAGTTATTCAAGAAACAATTAACTATAAACACAATATCGATCAAGGGTTGTGTAACGCCCTCAAAAAAAATAACATTAAACCCATCAATATAAACATGCATGGATATATAAAAGTTTCGCATTCTTCCACTCATCAGAGTTCCATTACCAAAAGTATTACATGTTAACGACAAAATCAAATGCCCTAAAGGCTTACAGCTTTCCACGTTAACACTTGGTTACAACAAAAGAGTACTAACTCATTTACACATTAAGCCCTTGGCTTGAATATACATGTAATACATCAAGAAACTAAACAACAAAAGTCTGCCCGCCTCTAGCCTCCCAAGCTACGTCATTGGAGGTGGCATGCTACTTGTACCTGAAAATGATATTCCCATATAGGGTGAGCCACAGCCCAGTAGAGATATGCTAAACACAGTATGAGCAATGACTAAGACATTAACAATTGATAAATGTTCAATTTTCATAAACTAATTCATAATCCATTTCCATTTCTTATCAATTTCACAATTTTCATCAATGGCTCAGAACCTGGCCAACCACTTATATGAGACAAAGACTCATATTAAACATTTCCCCTTATACAATAGATAAACACATTGATTATATCAGCATCTCAACAGATACGCATACAAGCTATATCCACATTCAACAGATATGCATATTAGCTATATCAACACTTCCAATGACAAGAATATGAGCTATGTCAACACTTCCAAAGATAAGCATATGGGCTATATCAACACATTATCTGACAAGCATATGAGCTGTATCAGTGGAGTCCATCCCCTATCTCCTCCCACACAACATCCGGTTTAGAGGTCCATCCCCTATCTTCCCCTAAACCGTGGAGTACATCCCCTATCTCCTCCCACACACACAATGCATATATACACAAAGGTCATATACATAATCAATCAATACATAACGTTAATGTATTCTATCAACCGTCATACTCTATGACATATCCAATTGATTAGTTTTAGTTTGCCTAATCATCATGCATTGTTTACAACAATCAAAACTACCCTCCACCGGTAGCCCAAGCAATTATTTCTAAACAGATAATAAAAGCTTCAACAGATAAAATATCAATGTTTTCAAAAGCGAGCGATTTATAAATCCAACTCCATCATTTCACAACATAATGAGCCAATTTCATTATTTTCAACTCAATTCCATAAGTTCACAATTTTTCCAAATTAATTATACCAATTAATTTTAAACAACAAATTAGGGCTTTTACTCCCAACTCTCGATATTAACCCAAAGGTTCCAATATCACCAACCAACAATAATATCATCATTTTGAAACCCAAAATACATATTATGAGCCCAAAATCATAAAACCCCTTTTTCACATTTTGAAACCCTAAGTCCCAAAATTTCCCAAGTTCAACACTCTATCAAAACAACTAAAAATCTAGGTCAAAGACCATAAGAGTGAGTAGGAATCCCTACCTCAAAGGATGACAACCAACGGAGAAGATGATGAAAACGAACTTGCTCCAAATCACGAGTTTCTTGGATCAAAAGATAGCCCTCGACGATCAACAACTCTTTTGTAAAGGCCAAAGGTGAGGAAATCACTCCTACTAGATCAATACCTAGAGAGAAGGTAGAGTTCTAGAGTGAGAAGCTTAACAATGGTGTTTTTGGAAAAGTAAGAGAGAGAAGAAAAGTGAAAAAGTGATTTAAAATGACCCAGCGGATAACTCATATACGTATGACCCGCTCGAGCGGAGAACACAACGCTTGAGCGTCAAGAGCAAAATCTGGACACGCTCGAGCGCAATAAGGCCCGCTCGAGCGCCAAGACACAAGAA